GTCGGCCACGGGAGGGAAAGAAGGGCGGCTTTGGGTGGGGGGGGAGAGCCCTCCTCCAGCCGGCCGGATTCTTCCCCCCCCTTCCCGGGGCCTGGGGCCACTCACTTCCTTTGCGCCGGCGGTAGAGGAAGCAGGCCAGCGCCACGAAGCAGAAGATGACCAGGATCCCCGGCCCGATCGTGGCTCCCGCAATGATCCCGACAGGCAGAACCTCTGAAAACCGAGAAAGGGAGACGAGAGGAGAGTCTGTGGATCAGGTCCAGCCTTCGGGCTCCCTCCCTCCCTCCCTCCCTCCCTCTCCCGCCTGGAGGGGGTCACTGGACCGACTCTCCGTGGCTTTTCCACCCGCCACTTTCAAGGCAAGGGGAGAGACTTTAGGAGCGGTTTTTCCCAGTCCCACTCTCCCAGTGAGTTTCCATGGCTGAGCAGGGATTCGAACTCTGGCCTCCTGAGTGCCAGTCCTGCTCTCTGTCCAGAACACCGCACTGCACTGGGAATCCACGCTCCACGCATCGAACCCTCCAGCGTTCCTGACGGCTCCCCTTCCTTTCCGGCTGGTGGCCTGCCCAGGGGAAGGGGGGGGCCCTGGCTTCTCCTTCCCCTCCCAGCTAACCCTCTTCCCCCCCGCCACGGCCGACGGTTCCCAGCCCCCCTGCTTCCCGGACCTTTCTCCTCCAGCTGGATGATGGCCGTCCGGGAGCCGAAACTGTTCCAGGCGGTGCAGTTGTAGTGGGTCTCAAAGTCGACCTCCATCACGTTGTTGATGGACAAGGTGGAGAGGACGCCGTTGCCCGTGTTGCTGCGCTCCACCGTGTAGCGCTCCAGGGTGCCCGCCTCGAGGGTCTTCTCCTGCCAGCCCCAAGCCTGGGAGACACGGGGGACACGAGCCAAGAGGCAGGATGGGGGGGGCAGGGGGGGGTTGGAAGAAGGGAGGCAGACGTTGAGAAGGAGGAGGAGGAGGAGGAGACCCTGAGACCGAGGAGGGAGGAGCCCTTTGGGAAAGCCACCAAGGCCCCCCCTGCCTGCCCGGCCCTCCAAGACCCAGGCAAAAGGGGGGGGGAAGGCTGCGTCCATCAGGAGGCACAGAGGGGGCCAAACCTCCCATCCCGAAAACCAACAGGAGACACACACGTCTCTCTCTCTCTCTCTCTGCCAGACTCACAATGCGGTCCGGGAGGGGGGTGCTCCCAATGAAACACTCCACTTTCCCCCGGTCGCCCCGCACGGCGTATTGAACGGAGTCGCTGGAAATGATGGGGGGACCTGGAGGAAAAAGAAGAAGAGAGGAGAGGAGAGGAGGGGCGTTAAGAGGCTCCATAAGGAAGAGCCGAGAGCCTCAAATCCGCTCCTGCGCCCCAGGCGCTCCACCAGGGAACCTGGATGGTGATTCATCATCTGCTTAACATGAGGTGTCGCTTGGGGGCAGCATCCTCCCCTCCCCCTGACAGACACCCGCAAGGGGGGAACACGAGGGAAGGTGGGGTGATCCCTTCCAGGGCCCGATCCAGCAGGGCGCCGGCGGCAGCGGAGGGTGGCCCCCGGTGTCCGCGGCGTTCCTTTCCCGTCAACCCAGGCCCTCCCGAGGGCCGCTCCGGACCAAGGATTCGGGGAGCCGTCACAAACACCCCGAGGCCCGGCCGCTCCCTGCACGACTCACCGTTGACCAAGAGGGCGACTTCCCGCTCGCCCACCCCGATCCGTGGCACGATGGCCTTGCAGACGTACTGCCCGGCGTCCGCCTGCGTCACTGACTTGAGGTACAGCTGGTTGCTGTTGCTGAGCACCTGAGGAGAGGGGGCAGTGGGGGGGGCGCGCTGAGTCAGGCTGCGGGCATCTTGGGATGGGAGATGCGCACCCACCCCCACATCCACGGGGCCCTTCACCTGCCCCCCGTCCTCACTCCCAACCCTCTCCCTTTCTCTGAACGCCTCCAGAGACCTCTGGGTGGTGCTGGAGCCGCAGGCCTCTCGGGGAGGAAGCCCGTCCTGGAGCAGAGAGGAGAACCACACACACACACCACACACACCCGGGGGGCCGACTCACCATGTTGGACTCCTTCTTGGTCCAGGTGAGGGTGAGGGGAGGGTTGCCCGCCCACACGCAGGTCAGCGTCACATCCGAGCCGATGTCGGTGGTGGTGGGCTTGGGGTCCACCACGATCCGGGGGGCAACTGGACCAGCAGAAGGAAAGGAAAGAGAGAGAGAGAGAGAGAGA